ATATTATCGACCAACTCACCATCTCCAAGAAGACCCATTTTCAAAACAGAGGCACTTCCCTCAAGGCCCACCCTGACTTTTGAATCTTGGCCCTCCGTTAGTATTGGGATCGAACGTTTCCTATCAGAACCGCAGGGTCGATCTTCTTCTTCCTTCTCCAGCGATCTCACCTGCACCGATCCTCCTCCCCCTAGATTAATTTGATGAGCATGCAGTGGGGAGCATTCACTGACGTCCTCTAAGACTATTGTCTTCGAGAYCATCGAGTCCTCCCTGACCTTTTGAGTTCCCTCTTCTGTGAGCCTCTCCGTCTTCCACCTCCGAACTGATGGAAGGACTTCTCACCATATGGAAACTGAGAATAGAAATTCCCCAGCAACAATCTCCACCTTCTCCGGAATCGAGCCACCCTTCTTCACCTTCATTCGAATCCATTCGCAAGTAGCCAACTCAGAATGAGAATCATCTGTTTCGAGAAAACCACCGCACGCATCCCCGATTGCTTTGATGACACTCGGACACCATAGAAGCAGAGGCAGGCCGAACACTCTAATCCAGATATCCTCCGACCGATCAAAGTCCTTTTTCGACTCCGGATAAAAACAGCCCGCGCTAGCTCCCCACCAATCAAGAAGAGGGTTCCTCCCCATTGACCATGGACCTTTTTCAAGAATCCATCGTGCCTCTGCTCTGGAAGGCAGGATGAACAAGAAGAGCTCATCCGCCAACTTCTTCACCTTCACTCCCCCCACCTCCTTCCAGATTTGATTAGCCCAGATCTCCACCTCCTTTAACCCCACCTTCCACCCAGATCTACCAACTAAACAATCCCTTAAAAACTTCCTTCATGATTCCACCCCGTTCATCTCCATAAATATCATAAGCTTACCTTCGACAGTTTTCAGATCAGAACGTCCCAAGTCTGGTCAAACTCCTTCACCACTTTTCTGTAGGAGAAATTTGGTCTTGACCATGCCCCCATGCCTTCTCTCTTGTACCAGTTCTGAGCTTCCCATCTCTTTCCTCCCCTTTGGACACTCCTAGGAAAACTTTTTTGGAACATTTTCATCGACCATGAAAGAACCAGAGGGGGTGAGAGTCCAAATTCTACTATCTGCCTCCAAGATTTTAATAAATTAAATTAAATTAAATCTGGTTTTCACTTTTCAGCGGTTCTCTCTGCTTTGGATTGGGCATTTGGACCCAAGCAGAATTAAGGAGCCTTTTAATAGCATTATAGGCTCTGGATTCTGTCCAGAATCAGATTCTAGTGAGAATCTTTTCTATGTGCACATCTTCTAATGAATTCTGCATTAAGCAAAACTCCACAATCTAGCTTCAATCTAATTCTAGGATTTTGGGCAGTTGATCTTGGCAGAATATTAGAAACTATCAGAATTCAAGTAATCCAAATTAAATGGAATTTGAGGTGTTTGAATTTGTACTGCACATTGATTAAAAAAAAAGTATTGCACAACGCTGATTCTAAATCCCTGTGTGTAGGTGTTGTTATTAGCTTGGAGTATAGTAATTGGACTAAGAGCAGGGAAGATTTGTGTTTCAGTGCAAATAGGGAAAAAATAAAACAAGTTTCTGAAAGTGTTTTAAAAGGTGCACATTTTAAGGCATTCAGCTTGCTTGAACCCAGGTGATGCTTTTTTACTGAAAAAAACAAGTGATGCTCCTTTCAAAAGGTGTATGCCTGGTGTGCCCTGCACCTTGGCTTAGATGCACTCCTTTTATAAGTTTGTTTCTTCGATTACTTTTTATACGATATTATGTCTTTGACACCTTTGTAATGGTCTATTAACTTTTAAATTACTTTCTGTTGGTTCTTGTGCACTAGTAATGGTCTATGAATTGTAATTTGCAAATAAAATGTTACCGTTTGCAGTTTGTATGTGTAATTTGCAAATAAAATTTTCATTTCCTTCCATACATTTAATGTTACTGTTTGCAGTTGCCAAATTATATTTGAAAATTTGTTAATTAACTGCATTTTTTGCAGGTTACTCTAACTGCCCATTTCCAGAATGATCTTGGACTTGACAGTTTGGACACTGTAGAGGTTGTGATGGCTCTTGAAGAAGAGTTTGGGTTTGAGATTCCTGACAATGAGGCAGACAAGATCAGCTCCATCAATCTTGCTGTTGACTTCATTGCTTCCCATCCCCAGGCAAAATAGAGTTGGTGCTTTGGTTGGCCTTTATTTCTCCCCCTTTTTGTTTAGATCCTTTTGCTCTTTTTATTCCTGAGAGGATACAGATACAGAGAACTGGAATCTTTGCCAAGTTGCTTCCTCTAAATGCGTAGAAGAAACTAGAATTTTTGCATGTTCATTAGTTTCGGTTGATACTTGGATTGCTTCTGTCTTTGGCATCTGGTTAAATAAGGGGGAAGATAGATACCTGTTACTTACTTTAATAGTCCTGGATTGGATTTCGACTTTGGGGTCTGGAKCAAATATGAAGCCCAGCCAAATATTGGCATTATCATAAAGTAAAGATATGGGATATATTAACTAACAATTTTGTTTTTTCTTTTGGTTTAATAAAATAACAGTAAAGTTCATTAAGAACCACCATACTACACACGAAAAGTGCAGTAGGCCATTACATATCAGCTCATAGGAGCATAATTTTGATTAGATTTAGCAAGCTGTAGCTTCCACATTTACTTGGGATGGAGTGTATACCCATTTGGGTTTCATAATCAGAAGGATGATGCTATCCCATAAATCTTTTTCATGTCTAGTTGTTGAGGTCTAGCAGAAGGGAAAATCTATGATGCCCCAAGGTAACTGATCGGTTTTTGGGATAATTGGGTTTGATTAATTGACCCGATTAATCTTGAAACGATAATTTGCCCAATGGGTTCGGATCCAACGGTCAGATCTGACCCATAAAAGATTACACTAACTTCAATAATTACAAACACTCACAAATAATATACTATAATTATGTCAATAATTTACTTATTTTAATGACATGCAACTTACCAACTATTAACCATACAAGACTATCTACCTATTCAAACTAAACAAGCTAAAAATCGAAAATATTTTTTGTTAGTCTCTTCAAAGAATTCACTATTTTACTATTTTGATTATATGTTTATAGTTTTTGGGTAAATTACAAGACTGCCACCCTTTACTTTGGGGGTAGCGACACTTCGGGAGTGTTCTACAATATGATTGGTTTTGTTTTTTAATACAAAAAAAAAAGAACTGCCATATCAACAAACCAACAAACCACCCTGAATCATGTGCTTAGGTGGGATAGGCAGGAAAGGATGCAGRCAAATCTAACTGAAATTTTTGGTTATGGAAGGTATCTCAGTAATTTGAATGATCAACGGACAAGATGCAATACAGATTTGACCCTTGTGAGCATTTGGTTTCTAATAGACAAATATGGTTTAATTATTCTAGAACTTGTTTTGTTATACATGTTGAAACCACGATAATGAGTTCATGTATTGGAACGTGTTATCCAAAAAAAAAAAAAAAAAACTCGTGTGAGATGGTGCATAAAATGTACTCACACTAAAAGAATAAGAAAAGGGTGAGATGGAGCATAAAATGCACTCATCCTTAGATCCCAAACCCTAATTCACCTTTTGATGCATTGTACTCATGATAAGTGGTGGAAATGTGATCCGTAAGAGCTTTGACCAATCAAAACCCATTCATGAATGTTTACCATCTGATTGGTTAATACCAAGATTCAAAATTTTGCAACGTATCGGACCGTATTGGCCGATACGTATCATTCCGGTACAAGTCCGATACACGAAATACATGGAATTTATCTGAAGGATTCCTTTTCTTATGTACAACTTGATATAAGTCCCTTTCTCTCATTAATTTCATTAAATTATATTTAAGGTCGAATTACCTTTCATTAATTTTATATTTACTCCTATATTTAAATGAATTTCTCTCATTAATTAGTTAATTATTCCTATAATTAATGCATAATTTTAAATTTGAATTTCAATTTTAGTGCCTAATTGGAATTCTCTTCTCGTTAATTTCGTTAATTAATATCCTTCTTTCTCATTAAATTTGTTTTGTTAGTGTAAAACTACAAATTAGGAATAGCAAGATTTGAACCCTAACCATTAAGCTTTAAGAACTATAGGTTCACCCTTAAGCCATGCCCACTTGCTTGTTATGCGCTTATGCATTTTATTTTTAAGTAAATTTTCTCGTTTTCTTAGTATATGCTTATCAATAAATGTTAGAATTAATTATTAAAATTTATGTATTAATAAATATTAAGATAAATTGTATTGATTATTTTAAAACTAATGTATATCAATATACACTTTAGTTTTTTTTTTTTTCACGTTTTAGTTATTCCATCATTTGTTAATAGTTATTAAGTGTGTCTCGGTATCTCAAATTTTATATAGACCATTAAATTACTGTATTTTTACTTTTAAATAACTTATTTACAATCATCTAAGACTTGTAACTATCGTTATTAATGTTTATTGGGATTTATTTGTGCTTTTTAGCATATTTATGTATATCTTGATTTTTTATCTGTATCCATACGTATCCAAAACGTATTCCGATACGTCTCTTAAAATTATCTTTTTGATACACCTTACATTTTCGATACTTTAAAACTTAGTTAATACATTTATGATACAGGTTGATTGGTCATAGGTTTCTCATATATGATGTCTTATAAAATTGTAGATTAATTAGCGTGTGTATATATATCCATGAAACCAAATTTGTCGTTGGGGAAGAGTACAAATACAAATATATACAATGTTTCTGAACCTTGAATTTGCACTGCCTATATTTGTATTTGCAATCTTCCCAAACTGAGCAACAATTGCAAATGATTATTCAAAATAAGAGGTAATTTTCCCGAAAAAGAAATGTTCACTTGGTTTGTAAGAAAAGGAAGGGAAATGAAGAGAAAGATACCCTAACTACACAAGATTTCTATAGGTTTTTCTACATTTTCCTTTCTATTCCTACCTATTCTTTCAAACCAAAAACAGCCTACAAGGCAGCTTTGCACCAACATTTTAAAGATAGTGGTGACATTTATCTATCTATACTATTTGCCTTGGATTACGTGTAAATCATAAATGTTAAATCAAAATATCATATAATTAATTAATTAACTAATACGAATTCAGATTTGCTCTTCGCAGAGTGTGCCTTGCACAAACTTCACAGCACTTGTAGATGTACATCGAGAATATTTCCCGTATTTATACRTTATCATTCGCGAGATATTCCCAATGCACGGCTGCATCATGCTAGGAGGTTGGTATGAGGTGTGCTGAGGAACTAGCAAATCTGAATTATAATTAATACTTGCACTATGCATAGCAAATGCTATTACTAGTAAAAAATAAAATTTCTGCTTGCTAATTTTAACATTTCGTCTTCCTCAGCCTTTCATGGGTGAACCCTTCCAATGACACTTAAACATTTCAAGCTTAGACAAGAAATGGAAAACAGAAACTAATCAAGAGGAAAGACATTTGAAATGTGCACATCAATCAATTTTCAGCTTTGATAGCACAATTAATGTTGGACAAAACCGCAAAAATGTGAATCAATCAATGATAAAACGATATTATAATGATATCTTTGACATTTTTAATAATAAAACGATATTAAAATGATATCTTTAACAATTTTAACGATAAAACGATATTATAAAATATGAATCAATGAAAATAAATCATATGATATTTATAACGTGATTACTTAACATGCCATAAAAATTTTGGACTCTTAAGTTTTTAGGTTAAATCTTAAATGTTCTAATTTTAATTTATAATCAAAGACCGGTATACTTAACAAGCAAGGCCCATTAGAGTCATAAAGCCCACCTTTCTGGGCCCTTCACGGGTTCCTTTGCTGGCTGTGGCCTGTGGATTCTCTTCTCAAACTTCCTCACTATCATGATGGACACTCAAGTACAAGCCCGATTTTGTTTTAAACATTATGACAGAACTACCCTCTAATAACCAATTTATTACAAACTGCATATGGATCGGTTAGATGCCACGTTTCATGCAGCTGGATGTTGAAGACACACGTGGTTTTTCTATAGAAGGTGTACGATACTCGTCCAGACCACAACGACCAGAGCAGGAAGAGTTGATCATTGATCAATAATCAAATAACTATCAAGTTTCAAGTTTCATCGATCTCCTTCGAGACAATCGGCTCTTCCTGTGATTATTGTTGGGTTAGTTGGGTACGTACTTGGGTGAGAGTTGAGAAAGAATCAGTTGAAAGCAATGGAGAAGAGAGCGGTTTTAGGGGTGAAGAAGAAACCCATCAAACAGACCAAGAGGAGATTTCTGAAGAAGGTTGTAGACTATCTCAAATCCGACTCCTATATGTACGCTCCGTTGATCTCTCCACCTCCACCGTCCAATTCTCCTGCTCGACACATCACCAGCTCCTCTGATTCAAGTACTCCTTCTTTCCCTCCTATTCCCCTCTGAGTTTTATTTATTTTTTCTTTTTTTAGTATTTTGTGGTGTTGAGATACTGTCTGCCCATGGATACGTTGTTTAAAGGGGTTTAGGGGTTTTTCTGCAGAGCAATGATGCTGTGGAGGGTAGAGAACTCGTTTACTATTAATAGGGTATTTCAACTTGCATTTATATAGTATTAAGACAAACCCATCTCCCTTTATAATCTGAACAGAGAGGGAGGGGATGATTTTTTGTCTTGTTAATTTGTTATTTAGGCTGTGTTTAGTTGCAGTGCAATTTTACTTGCACTAGTAATGAAAAAAATGCATATTCTGGTTTAACTTGGGTTTTATTTTATTCTGATTCATGTCTTTATTTACTTCATTTGTACTGCAATCAAACAAAGTAAGCTAAAATTTGAAACAAAAATAGGTCAGAATTTACACTCGAATCATTATAAATTTGTTTGCATTGCAACCAAACACAGCCTTAGGCTCAGTTTGGAAGGAGTATATGTAGAGTGCAAAACCTTATATTTTGTATATACATCTTTGTATTTTGTATGCATTTGTACCGTACATATTTGTATTTGTATTTGTACTCCTTATACTTCATGTTGTCGGTTTATTTAAACTCATAAAAAGAAGAATTGAAAGAGAAAAAGAAAGAAGATAGAAAGTTGAGAATGAGTTTAATTGGTTTCTTGACGGGTTTGTTTAGGGAAATATTGTGGGATGGTCAAGATGAAACGGTGGGACCAGTGGAATTGAATACATATTTAGGGTCTGTTTGGTTCAGAATTGGAATGGTATATTCCTCCTGCCTATTTGGTTCATAAAGGAATCGGAATCAATCGGAATGGATTCTCATTTCCAAGGGAGGGGGAAGCAATGGCCATTCCCTTAAATGCGAAATGCCATTCCATCATTGACTGAGGTAAAAATCGATGATCCCTACTAGCAATGGTGATGTGTAGAGCTTGGGTGTAACTTTGGTGACAGATATGCAAGAAAACAGTGTTAGAGGGCCTGGGTCGACCGGGCAAGGAACCCCGATGCTTAAGTCAGTAATTGCCGAGCTCTTCGAGGTGATGAAAAGTATGCAAGTAGGAATCAGAGAGTAAGTATGCCAGTATGTGAGTGTACCTTGTGAGAGTGGAGGTTTACCCTTATATAAACCTTGAGGGCCTGTTCGTTTCTTCTTAACTCTTATCTCTTAAGATGAATCTTTTAACTTTAAGAGGGAAATGGGTGTTCATTTCCTTTTATCTCTTGTCTGTTAAGTGTAATTTTATGACTTTTTGTTTTCTAATGATACCCCCAAAAGACAAATAAGAGTTCTCATATACGGGGTTAAATTGGACATTTGATAATTTTCAGAATTTAGAATTCAGAATTCAGAACAACATTCTCCGCATGCATTTAGAGTTCAGAGGAAAGAAAAGTTCACCAATATCAATATACCTCTTAATGTAATTATTGCACTTTCAGATGTCAGACGTCAAAGCAAACAAACAGGCCCTGAGACTTGGTTGAGACGTGTTTGGCACATTTGAGCTACTGATGACTACGCGTCCACTGCTTTCGGGATGTGCCCGGACGGCACTGTAAGCGTCTTTATTCGCTTCCTCGTGAAGCGTGGGCAAGAGGGTTTGTAGCTGTCAAGTGGGCTTTGTGCTTGCATACGTCTCGGGCCAGCTATCCCATGGAGACAGGAGAGAAAAAGCGTGTGCGTAGGTTGGAGGCATACCGAGGTTGGAGAGGTCCCTCAGGTTGCAGGCTACCCAGGTCAAATAAGAAGGTCGGTAACACGGTATGGTTGAATCGGATGTGTGCTTCGGGCCTGTAGGTCAATCTGCCGAGGTGCTCTTAAGCGAGGTCAGAGTTCACTCGGGCTTCATAAGCTGATCTATCGAGGTGCCTTTAAGCGAGGTTAGAGTTCACTCGGGCTTCATAAGCCGATCTGTCGAGGTGCCTTTAAGTGAGGTTTTGCTACATGTGTCGCTGAGGTGCCATAATGCATTTCTGTCACCATGTGGAAGAATATAATTGGAGAGGAAGATCATCCCTCATCAACCATGAATGGAACAGTTAATGGGATTCTGATTCCACCAACCCAATGATTGGTGCAGATGGGGTGTCACTTGGACCAGATTTCGTCCAATCCGATCCAGTCCACTATGACCATTGCAGATGGACCAGGTTCAATCCAATCCGATGAATACTCTGGACCATTTTTTGGACCAGTCCAATTCATTGTCTGGACCATCGAATCCATTCAAATTGGTTTTAATTTGGATTGGTTCCAACCCAAACCTAGTCCATTGACACCTGTATTCTTATCTCTATCAATGGAGGATATTGGTTCAGTCGGACCCAATCCAATATAAATCCATTACAGATGGGTCGAGTCCAATCCAATCCAATCCAATAAATACTTTGAACCATTAAGTTTGGACTGGTCCAATTCAATATGTCTTATTGGTCCGTCCAAGTTGATTATGATTTGGATGGGTCCAACCCAAAATTGGTCCATTGACACTCCTAGGTCCAGATCACTATTCTTGCAAATAACTAATACCAATAAAAGTACCATAAAAATGGAAAATACAGTTAATGAAGTAAGAGAAAAAGAAATGTGGGAGTGAGTCCAATGCCCAGGTGGGTAGGTAATGAGGAGGCCGTTAGTGCTCTTCAGTGCCAAGGCCTTGCTCTTGAGAAGAGAGGTGGTCCATGAGTGTTAACCCAGGAGTTTCTTTTGTGATGCTTGGTTGTCATCATCTTCTGGAGCGTTTAGGATTACAAGTCAAAGGACATATTATTTTTGGATCCCACTTTTCCCTTGGTCAGTTATCAATTTGATCTCCATTAGAATGGTGCAGAGGGTGTCTACTACAGATAATTTCAGAGAAACTGACTTGAGAAATCTCAGTCCAACTGAACATTGATAGACTTGCCCAGGGTGGGGGGTTTCAGAGCCTTCGAGTATTGATGGTGCATCACAGAACAGTTTGGAGGTGTTCCATGCACCACCATCAAGGGCCCGTTCAGAAAGTTCTTTACTAGTGAACGTTAAGTTGTCCAACCAGTTGTTCTGAGATATGGGATAGTTACAATGGTTCTAGTGTTCCAGGGTAGCTTGTTTGTGCTCTAGTCTTTCTTCTAGACAATGTTTCTTTTCATCATTTTCTCATTTACTCTGGTCACTTTTGTTTCCCTTGTCTCTTTAAAAGGGGGTATCAAATGGAGACTCTGTTTTTTCTTCATAAGCTAATTTGAATTTCCTTGGACTGGTTTGAACTGAAAGAGAGTTCACTTGGAAATTTTCAAAATGACCCATTGTTCCTATACCTGATCAAGATGGAACTGCAGCATTGGCATTTATTATACAAGTAAACCTTGTTGGTTTTGAATCCATAACCTTTGGCATTGTTGCTTCAAGGGTCGACTTGTGAATAACCATTAATATTCCTGTATCTTAGAAATCTTTTGCCTTCTTCCACTACGTAGGAATTGGTTGACAAAATATGAATTATGCACTTCCAGATAGTCTCTGCTTGAGGTTGTGTACAATTTTTCCCGCCATGATGTTGTTATCTTGGTTATTGAAAGCTTTAATTGAGTTTGTTTGAATGACAGCTTTATTTCTAGGATTTGCATACACAACTTCTGGTGGGAATATTTATGTGTTACTAACCTCAAAAATGCTGTTTCTATTCCTTGATTCATCAAGTGAGGTTTCAAGTATTCATTTGGTTTCATTGAGAATATCTTGTTCAAGTCACGACTTTCATACACACCACAATTCATTCTCCAAGAAATTGGCAGTTGTGCTGAGTCGGATGGCTGAGAATTTTACATGTTTGCAACTATTTGAGGGTAATGTAAAGAATGTTAGTGGAACTATCTTCCTAGATTGGTCATCTATATATTTCAAGATGTGATTATATCATCAATCCACATGAAGGTGTTAGGTGTGTCTTATTACCAAGTTGGAATTATTGTGCGGCCATTCCAGATCCTCCATCTGACATCTTTATGTATATGAGCATTGTGTTTCAGTGCTGAGGGCACAACCTACAATGTCCTCTTTGTTCACAATTGGTGTCTTGAGTTCATCCATCAGACAAGCACAAGGCTTTACAGGGATAAATCACATAGCACTTTTGACACCTTCCATGCAGATATTTCCTTATACCAAACATTGTTTTGCACTAAAGAAATTGTAAAATTATTAGCATGCCGGGTGCACATGGCTTTACAGGAATAAAATCATAGAAATTAGAACTTCATGTGGGATAGCCTTTTTATTCTCATAAAAGAATTACTATAGATTCAARCTTTTTCTTGGAAACACTCTCTGTATGTGCAGGGGTAAGTCTGTGTACATCTGTCCCTCCCCAGACCCTCATTGGTGGGAGCGTCATGCACTGGGATGCTCTTTATAGATTCGAGCATTTGATTCTGTTTGGTTTCTTCCCTGTCTGGAATCTTTATAATGTGCATTAACCCTGTTCTTAATTTCAGGACCTCTTAGTTGTCTAACAGGGGTGACTACAGCAGTTTCAACAAGGAAAGTGAACAACAAAAACAATCAAACAAATGACGAGCCAGAAAATATGTTGGGGGAAGAACAAGACATTGAAGGTTCTCATCCTCAACCAGGTAATTTGGGTCCAGGAATTTCTGGACACTTTGAGATGGTAAAGCATATTGTACACAAGAACTGTCGTCCTTCTTCCTTATTTGGCCATGATGTCCAGAATATCAAACGTTGTACCACTACCCTCCCTACAGTTAAAACTTAAGCAGTCAAAGAGCACATATCGGTGAGTCCTCCAAAATTTTCCTTGATTTCTTGTGATGTTTCAAGCACAAGACCATTAACATCAGTTTATTGAAAATCATTATAGTTTTCTGTTATTCAATGTATAATTCCAAAATTCTAGTTAGTGGAGTCTTTGTCAAGGTAAGATACTGAGATTTAATGTTCTTCGTTCTTGTTGCAGCCAAAGTAAAAAGATGCCTGAGACGTAGCTGCAGAAGTATTGCACTGTACTTTATCATGTTCTTTCTTGTATAGTTGAATTCCTGTGTTTAAGTCTTCCATGGTTTAATGGTCATATTGTAAGTAAAATTGGTTTGCATCTCTCTCTCTCTCTCTCTCTCTCTCTAACAGTTCATAGTCTTGAACTTGAGTGGGCAGATTTAGATTGGCTGTGGTTAATTCGTAGAGGAGCTGGACTGTGGTTTTCTAGCCTCTTGGGGGTTTTTCTTTTTTGAAATATCCCCTTCCTTTCTGCAAAGGAGATATTGCTACCTGAGTCTCTGTTTGCTAGGAGAAGGACAAGGAAGGGCACGAGCACGAAAATGTCATGGGAGATGGACTAATGATGCATCTGGTTTGTTTTTGTGGGAGTGTTTGGTTGGCATCTTTTTGGTTTCTATAAGTCAGATGCCATTTTGGTTAACTCGATGGCAGGTTAGGCGCTTAAATGTAATCGGTCATTTATTCCTCTGGAACCCCCCAAAATTAAGACTGACCTGGCCTTGGGCAGTTGGGCTTCTTATATATGACGAGTGAGGAGTGATCACCATTTTGTGCTGGCTGAGTTCGGCTTCAGTCAGTGCAAGCCTGTCCTCACATCGTTTTCAAGGTTTTTATCAGGGGTCCGGTTCTTGGGTTGAACATTCTGACCGTTCAAACCAAATAGATGGCCTATTTTGACCAAAAAATAAAAAAAATGGTTAAATCGTTGAATGGTTCGAATGATTCGATTACTTGGATCAATGGTTTGTTGATCAAATTAATGGTTTTTGGTGAAATAAATGGACTATTTTTTGTTTTTTTTGGTCTGACCGTCCGGTCTAATTCAGTTTTGAAAGTTATGGTTTGTTTCATTATAAGAAGGGAAGAAAAGATTGTAAAAACTGTATTTTTTAAAGGTAAATTGCTGAAACCTCTGTTTAGGTAGTAGTTGCAAGTAGATCCTCTTGTTAGAATCCTCTAGGCATGAAAATGTCTAAAATTGGTTTTAACAATTTATCCTTTTTTTCATTCAAAAAGAGATCAAACAACAAAAAAGACTTGACTCAAAGACAAAGTCTATTATAAGTAAAACCCTACAAGCATATGTAAATAACGAGTTTGCATCACCGCCCCACTGCCCTTCACCCCACAAATGCCCCACACGACGTGCGACTGACACCTGTCCAGTCGCACGCGGTGGGGCGTTCCCGCGTGCGACGCTTACGTGACGGACATTAGCCCCGCCAGTTAGCCCCGAAACCAGTTCTTTTCCCATATTCGCACCCCTCCTGAAGCTCAGATTGGAGGAGAAGCTCTGACCCCGTTCTCTGTCCGAGCTCAGATTTCCGCTTCCATCTCCGGCACCGGCGAACGCTCCGGTCATCAGGTAAGTTCTAACCTTTGTTTTTTGTCTGGGGCTGTGATTTTTTTCATTAAATTATTTTACTTTTGACTTTTTTAAATGAAACGCTCCGAAGACACGCAAGCTACAGATAGCAACTGGAACATCCATGGCTTCCCACGCTAGAGACGATGCAAGAAATAACAAACCAGAGAAGAAATTAATGGATTTGGCATCACTAATTGCAGGTTCTAAAAATGTAAAAATGCCCATTTTCTTAATCAGGGTTTTTTGATGGCTTACTTGAAGTTCGTACTGTGATAAGAATCGATCCAGATGATTCACAKATAAATAAACAGTCAATGGTTCGAAGTTGAAATGGCGATGAACCTTCAGAATACCATAGGATTTCACATGAGAAAATGGAACCACCAGAAAAGAAAAGAACTGAAACAGGAATGAAAAAAGATCGATATTTTCGATCAAAAAATCCAAAACCCACCTTGTAAAATCCAGTCAACCGAGTCATTGCGAGCAGAAACGTCGAGGTCTCCAGAATGAAGCCTCGTCAAGTAATCCTCCCTCGGCATCATTTCTCCTTCTTTCTCAAGAAGCAACGAAACTCTCGTATCGAAGCCCGAATCATCGAAGAAAAAACATCCGTTCTTTCTGGTTCTGGCGAGACCCGCTCCCGACTTCATCGGCTCCGTCGTCGACGACGATGAGTTTGCAATCTTCGGCGCAGAGAAGGCCCGAGAAGCAGTCCAAGGGCAATGCCATGGCACAATTGGTTTTGGGGCTAACGGACGTCACACGCGGGAACGCCCCACCACGTGCGACTGGACAGGTGTCAGTCGCACGTCGTGTGGGGCGTAGCGCGGTGGGGCGGTGATGCGAACTCGTAAATAACAATACAACACCTAACCTCGTGAGACCCTTATTGGGCACTTGCCCGTACTGTCCAGTGGTGCCTAATACAAGGAACATAATAAACCCAATAGTCCGTTCCTTTCGCCAATATTTTGAATGTATCGGCCAATACATACTAATTGTATAATATTAGAATCCATTTGTATTATTAACTCTCATTAATAATCCTATAATTACTCCTTATTTCTCTAATAATACATATATTTAATATTTGTCATAATTAACCCTTAATCCCCCAATAATTACACCATTAAAGCATTATTTAAATTTGAATTTGACTTGCCATTAAACCAACCCTTCTTTTGGTAAAAAAACCTATTTAAAACTATAAACATGAGATAAATAGAATTAAACCTTGGTCATTTGTTTGTCATGACCATAAACCCACCACTATGGCATAATCTAATTGTTGATATAATTGTATGCATTTTATCCTTAAGCAAATTTTTTTCTTAATGGATGTCTATTAATTAATGCTAAAGTTTATATACTAATAAATATTAATTAAAATTATATTGGTTTTTTGAAAATTAATACATATTCCAATCTTCCATTATTTTTCAATAATTACTAATTGTGCCCCAATATCTCACACTTCAAATAAACCATTGAAGTATGGTTTTGTATGTTTACCTTCGTATAAAACTTATATTTTCTATTATTAATATATTTTTAAAATTTATTTGTGTTTTATAGTATTTTCATAACTTGAATTTTCATCTGTTTCCATACATATCCAGAGCATATCCTGAAATGTCTCTTAAATTTGTCTTTCCGATACATCTTGCATTTCCAATATTTTGAACATTCCTCTCAACCCACCTGTCATGAATTAAAAACATATCCAAACCTTGCTATTATTAATATATCTTTAAGCTTTATTTGTGTTTTTTAGTATTTCCATATCTTGATTGTTCATCTATTTCCATACATATCCAAAGCATATCCTAAAATGTCTCTTAAATTTGTCTTTCTGGTACATCTTGCATTTCCAATACTTTAAACCTTGCTCCCAACCCACCTGTCACCAATTAAAATCATTGCTGGTACAGGTGTAACATATTGGTTGTGTGCTTACTCAGTATGTTCACCAGGTGTGCCTACCGGATCCAGGCTCATGTGAAAGACCAGAAAGCCCATTTCATTCTTACATGCCATTTCATCCTTACAATATGTATCGGTTTTTCAGGTTGCCAATATGCTATATACAAGGAATTAGGGACATTTGACCAGCTAAAATGATGGTAGTAGGTGTGAAGTGATGAATGAAATGATGGGAGTTCATTCCTTGATACATGAAAATAGTATTCACTGTTCAGTCGAAACTTTGAAGTTAGAACCATGTATGAGTTAAGAGTTACTAGTATACATGTCCTGTTTAGAAAGATTTCCCAGTTGAAGTTATTCTTCATAACAATCTATCTTTATTCCTTGAGCCAACAGAGAGATTTCTGTATGGCACATTAGCACCTCATAGTTAACTGAGTAAACAATTAACATCTTGGTGGGGCTCCCTCACCTTTCGCTCTAGCAACAGAAGCTGAAAGGATCCCAAGATCACGATTCAGGAATGTTAATGCAGATTCGCACTCAGCAATTATTCTTGTGACAGAAGATGATTCATCTGCTGCTGAGTCAGAAGATCCAATGGCCAATGCAGCATGTGAATCTCGAAGGTTCCTCAGGTTTGATAGGAACTGTCATTAGAAGCAGAACACTTAGTTTTTTTCCCAGCGAATTTGTACTCACATCCTTCAAAGTCTCGGAACAGATATAAAACTAGGGATGATCATGGAAAACTGAAAAACAGAACCTAACCAACAAGACCAAACTGAAATTTCCGGTTAATCAAATTGACCGGTATACATATATTTTTATATTATCTAATATTATAAATGAATATATGCATTATATATATAATGTATTATTTATAATATAATATTTTTATTATAAATTATAAAAATAAAAAATTGAAAAACCAACAAACGGAACTGACAGTTAACCGAACCGATTGACTTAGGTTCGGTTTTGCTTACCGTTTTTCCAAAAACTGGCACTACTGGTTCGGTTTAAAAAATAGGCCCACGGTTCGATAACCTAACTATGGGCACCCCTATAGAAAACTGAGGAAAACTCTAGGTTAAAAGAAGTGATCTTTTATAATAAAAGAAAATACAATAATAAAAGCAAAAGGAAGTACAAGATGAGGTGATAAGAAATCATCGAGCAGTAAAATCAAAAGAAAAGGCCTATAAGCCCTTCCCCTTGACAATACCACCCAAAATGACTCAAATTGAGCTACTTCTCTAGAGTGAAAAAAAAAAGCCTTGAGCCATTTAACAACTTCAGAAACCAAAACTAAACATTACCAATTCAAAGACAACAAACATCAGCAACCAACCCTTCACTAAAAGGATCTCAGAAATTCCTCATCCCTCTGAACCCCTGTTGACTTCACCCAGCTCTGAAATAGCAGCCCACCATCCACCAGAAACTCAAATTCCCTAGACCCTGAATTCAAAAGATTCAATACAAACTTCTAACTTAGGTTGAGAACTGAGATGTCAGATTTCTCAACAATTTCCTAATCCAAAGACCAGAAGTAATGCATAGATGCTATCTGAAAAATTGACAGTTTTCTTTTACTTGTGACAACAGATAAAGATATATTGCCAACATAAAGCCACCTTTTCATGCATCAAGGATAGATTAGTTTTTATGCAAAAGTAGCATTAGAGTTTAATTTAGAACAGTTAGAAACTCCATTCAGGATCTTCTGAGTTTTAAGGCAGTTTATACAGGATAAAATGGAAGATCAGATGTTCAAGCTTAAGAAACTAGAAACTAATGTTGAAGACATTGTTGTCATTGCAGTGAGGAGAAGATAACTAGTTGTTTTGGATTCCTTGGCATCTAGGCACTCACTGTCATCATCATCCAAGCCCTGTACCAACTATATGGGGTTGGCTACATGAATCCTGGATCCTAGATCAATCAGTTTCTAAAACCCTATTCCTGATAGATTCACTAGAAACTAGCCACATGGAACAGGAATTGCATTTCCTTAAAGGGGAAAATAGCATTAATCAAATTAACCCCAACTAATCTACCAATGTTACTACTTTCCAGATTTCCATGTTTAAAGTCAAAATCTCTGTTGGCAAAAGATTGGAGAAAATCATGAGACTTCTTTAGGAGACAATTGGGCCTAAAGGAGAATATTTGATCAAATGGGAATCAGTTTGTAAATTGTAAAAGCAAAGAAGGCAGCTTGRTAAGTGGCCTAGAATATTTCCAATTGATTTAAATAAATTAAGGCACACTGTAACTATTACCATTAGTGGAATGATGGTAAATTGTTGGGACGAGAGTTTAAATGTAAGTGCTTTACTAGCTTTACCTTGAAAATCCATACCTTCCTGTTCAAACCATTTTTTGCAGTATACCCGATATATTCCTAATGGCAGCAACACTAATTTTTGGAATTATTTATGGTGGTGGAAAGGAGCAGCTCTGTAGGGGCAGATTTCCTGGACTTTCTCTTTGTCCCTCCACAAAGATTTTCCTGTTTTCCATTGTGCATCCTTAACCAAGGATGGGCTAGTTTAGAACCTTGCTTTGAAGATTTTTTTTTTTTTTTTGTTTTTTGTTCTAGCTGTTCTTGCTCTTTTGGAAGGTGATATTCTTGGTATGTCTAAAGACTCTAAACCTAACTTTAGAATTTGGTCTGCCAACTCCTCAGATTTTTTTTTTCTCAATTTTTTTCTTCTTCTGTGGTTCCTTCTTTGAGGGGATCACTTGTGGTCTATTTTGAAAGGGCCAATTCCACTTAAAATTAGGGTGAGAATCTCTGAAAAAAGAGGCTTTATTGGTGCTTATCACCCAATATGTATTATTTGTACAAAGCAAGCTATGAATCCACATACAGTTTACTAATCTCTTGTTCATTTGCTTATTTCTATTTCATACAGTGGTATTTTGGATTTTCTTCGCTTTATGAATGCAGGTCAATCCTTCCAACAGACTTGAGAACTGATTGGGAGATTGTTTTTATGCCTAACCAAGAAGAGAGGCAGAATGGTGCACTACAGCAGAAGAATTGTGGACAATGAGAAAAGAAGAGCACGAAAAATTTTCAAGATAAATCCTGTACAAGAGCTGCACTTATTTGAAAACTTTTTTAACAGTAAATTGTGGAGAAGAGGGGTAGTTTTGTCTTTTTATTTATTCCTCTTTGTCTATTATTGGGCATGTATGCTAGTGTACAGCCTTGTACAGTTCTATATTTTAATATAAATACCTATTTCCTGGGTTGGATCTGGACTGATAGTGATAGACCAACCAAACAGTCATTCTCTCCTTGTGGTTTTGTCTCTTCTCTCTTTTTCTCACCTGAACCATCATGGTATCAGAGCAGGTTGCTCTCTGATCCATCTTTTCTCAGTCAAAAATCAAAATCTGTCCTTCCCCTTGTTTTGAGATTGGTTTCGGGGCTGCTTTGCTCAACCAAAAAATCAATCTTCTCTATTCAGCATGTCCAGCAAGGAAGGTTTAATTAGATCGTTCTTGATAGATCTAAGATCATGATGAAACTACATAGAGTGTAGAGGAAGTTCTGATCTTCTCTCTTGGGTGGCAGCAGGTTTCTCTTTCCTTTTTTGGACTGTACTCTCTATCACTTCTTTCTCAGCAGTTCAAACAGTTTTTCTTGGCTGCAAGAGGTTCTTTTTATCTCTTTCAGAAATTATTGCTCGTCCTTGGTGTTCATACTACCTGTTCCATTGTCTCTACCTGTTTTTATTGATCTTGGAACTTGAGAATGCCGAAATCATCTCAATCAAGTTTGATGGCAGCAACTATGCACTTTTGGAAGTTTCATTTCAGTATTTTGTTGAAATGAAAATGATGTGGGGCTATATTGATGGTTCTACAACCACGCCAGATGCTAGTGATGCAAAGGGGCTCAAATAGTGGAAGATTGAAAATGCTCAGGTTGTCTCCTAGATTTTGGTTCTGTAACTTTTGATGTTGCTATTAATGAGGGAACTTAAGACTGCACATGACATGTTTGAGTACCTTGAGAAGGTCTATAAGCAATCCAATATGTCCAAACAATATCAGATAGAGCTGGATATATTTTCTTATATTGGAGTAAAGAATCCAAGAGTACTATGCTGGATTTATGAATCTTTGGACTGAATATGAGTTCATTCATTTGGGGGGTTGTGTGAAAGCAATGAAGAGTCACTTTGATAAAAGAAAAGTTATGCACTTCTTGATGCATCTCTAGCCTGATTATGAGACAATATCTTCAAACATACTTAGTGGGAAAATCGGACTTAGATATGACCCTTGGGGAGTTATTAAGAGAGGAAACTCAGCTCCTTACTCAGTCCTCTCTTGATAATAAGAAAGAGAATATGGCATAGATGCAGTTTTTATGGCTACCAAACAAAAGGAAAAAAAGGATATTTCGAAGATACAGTGTTATAAGTGCAAGGATTTTGGGTGTGTTGCATCATAATGCAAGAACTTTTGCACCTATTACAAACAGTAGGGACATATTATTGTTGAATGTTTGGCTAGGCCACCTAAGAAACGGCAACATAAGGTTTTTCATGCTTTGGTTGAACCATCCAATGCTTCTCCCTCCACTTCAGTTCCCAAGACTGATTCTTAGGGTTCACTAAATGAAGATAAGATTCGCCAACTCATATCTTCGGCTATTTTCTCTGCTTTTTTTGCTATTGGCCAGGCTAGTAAGTCAATTGGCTTATTATGCCCTTCTCCATCTCATATGTGCATAAGCCTCAAATCACATGTTTGGAGCTTCCTTTGGTCATTCTCCTAAACCTTACACCTCTGATAATCACATTGTTACATCTAATGGTGAAACTCATCCTATTTATGGCTGTGATGATTTGTTTCTATCCACTTCCAAGTCTGTTCCCTTCCTATCTTTCCAAAACTCTTTTTGTTCCTAAGTTGACTACTAATTTAATTTCTGTTAGACAACATGTTGATGATGGTAACAATGTCCTTTTCTCTTGTGATGGTTGCTTTATCTAGGACCAGCACATTGGAGAGCTAAGGGGGAAGGGGCGTAGGCTTGGAAAGGCTGTTTGCTCTTGAATTTGAGGATTAAAGTTAAAGTTCTTCATCAACTTCTTGTTTGTTATTTACTACTTCAAATTTTTCTTCCGCTTCATATAATAATGCGTAGCACTTATGGCATAGATATTTCGGTCATACTCATGCTAAAAACTGGGATTATATGTTTTCTTCTAGTTATTTGCCTATTACTAGCTCTTCATTCAATAATTTTGATAAATCCTGTTTGGCTTGTTGCTATAGTAAAAGTCATGTTTTTCCCTTTCCATATCCTGAGTTTGCTTTTACTCCTTTTCATCTTATTCATAGTGATGTATGGGCATCTCCTATTATTTCATGCTTGGGTTACAAATACTTTGTGTTATTTGTTGATGATTGCACTCAATATACATGGGTTTATTTTTTCCATAAGAAGTCTGAAGTTTTTCCCACATTTAAGAACTTTTATGCCACGGTTATGAACCAAATTAAAAGTACCATGAGTATCTTGTAGTCTAATTCCAGGGGAGAGTAATTTGATGATGAGGATGATGAGTTTCAAACTTATCTTAAGCAACATGGTATTCAAGCCCAAAGGTCTTGCCCAAGTACCTCTCAACAAAATGGTATTTGAGCACAAGAATCATCATATTGCTAGTATGGCAAGATCCATTTTACATTATTCATATGTTCCCATTACCTTCTGGATAATATATATATATATATACTGGTTAGTTTAGTTATCTACATTTCGGTTTAGTTTTCTCAGTTCAATGTGTGAATATTGGTTTTCTCAATTATAAAATTGATCAAGTGGGTTATGTGCTTCATGTATACCCACATAATTCAAAAAATGACAGAACAATAAGAAGACTAATACAAGAAATAGAGAAAGTGAGTGACAAAAGTCAATATCGAATTGAAGATAAAGAAATCATAGGAGTATTCTCAAGTTTGATCAACAATGGTTGAAGATCACGACTCAACCAAATGGTTGAACAAGCACCCAAATTTTATTGAATGGTTAGACCTAAGTTCAAATGAAAGTATAAAGTAAGAAGATTGAAGTATATATGGGAAGAGTTCTACCAAAAAAAGTATGAGAAGAGACAAACTTTGCAATGACTCATAGAGAGAGTGATGTCTGATATGATATGATGCTACATTTATTATTGTGTGTATTCTTGTTTATGTAATTTGATTATGTTTTTCTATTCTCTTGTATATTTTTGATCTTATTTTCGTTTCATTTGGAATGAAAATATCTCTCTTTCCTAGCCCCGTCGCATTTTCTCAGAAAAGAAAATCTAAGAATGATTTTTATTTTTTCCTCTGATTAGAAAAACTAATGTTTGAGTGACAAGTGACACATATTAATATTTTGCACAAAAGGCAATATGGTTCTATTAATTTTTGCTGTCTATGCCTATGGATTTATTATGCAAGCTAATTTATATAGGGGGCATTCTACAGTGAATTGCTTTTTTTTGTTGCTGGTTTCAAAAACAAGTCAAAACCATTTGATTTGAAAACAGATTGTTTTTCAAAACAAAAACACAAAAACATGTTCTTGAAATTCTGGTTTCTTAAACATGTTTTTATTTTGTCACTTAATATTATGTTCCATAAACCATATAAATTCTATACTAGAAAATTTGTTTTTGTTTTAAAACCCATTATTCATTATTTTGGTGGTTCCAAAAACATGTATTATTATTTTTTTTTGAAACAAAGCTAACTTGTTTTTCCCTTTGAAAACAAAGAACACGTTTTTTTTTTTTTGCTGATGTGGCGATTAATTCCAAAAACAAATAAAAAGAAAAGCATTCATGTTGTAGAATTCACTCTTAATTTTTTTTAGTTCATAAATAAAACTCAAAAAAATATGAAATGCCTACGCACAATGTAGTTCTTATGTTGCAAATACATTGCTTAACAATGAAGAATTTATTGGTTATATTTTTTACTTAAATGACCCTAATTACTTATTTACTCTTATCTATGCATTAATTAGTAAATGTATACATGTATATCACACTTGACAATTTCAAATGGTGATGATGATCAGTGTTCTTGTTATAACCTACCTATATGCAATTAAAAAGAGTAGTCTTTGGTGTCAACAGAGACAAATAATTGGAGTCTGGATGTCCTACATAGTATTATGCAGGGGAAGATGTTCTCTATTCACGGATGGTAGTATATTATGAGTTGTGTGGACAGAAGATCCAGAGTCAAATATAATTGAATCATGGTGGGCCGTGATTTGAGCTTAGTTTCGGCCCAAGTGAAAGTAGGCAATAGTTGGTGCCAACTTCTTCAATTTGGGAGAGGCTGAGGGCCGTCCTTACAGCCAGAAAGGTATAAGAATGCCGGCGATGGATCTTGGTGAGGAATCTAAAAAGCCTAATCTTATCTAAGGCGACACGCAAAAAGGCCGGCCTAAGACTGACGTGCAAGAGGACGTCGGCGAATCTAAAAAACCTTTGTGTGATAAGGTTTCTGGTTTTAGCTAGAAGGCACAATTTTTGGACTAGGAGCTAGGTGGGGGGCTTCAGTTTCTGTATAGCAGCTGGGGCATTGCACTCAGCGCCGACTGAGGGAGGACCGGAGGAAGTTAATTGTATTGCGTTTGGAGGAGGTAGGGAGGCAGGCAGCGAAGCTGTATGTGGACTATTGGGTGAAGGTAGACAAGGAAATCAGAGTCAGAAGGTTTTCTAGTGGTAGAGGCAAAAAGGGAAGAGGTGGAGGTTAGAGCTCCTTAATTAGGTTTGCTAAGGCAGGCCATAGCTTTGCGTTTTCTGTGCTGTGTGGTGCTTTTGTCGGGAGGATTGGATTGGGTTGGGGCAAGCTCTCTATTGTTCTTATTTTTCTGAAGTTGTTGTGTTTGTTTTGGGCTTGGTGAAAGTGGGCCGGTTTCGGTCTTGAACTGGGTGTGCTGACACCTTTTCTGTTTCATCTCTTTTTTCTATTTGTGTGTAATTCTATTCTATTTATTTATCAAAGAAAAAAAGGGTTAAATATTTTATAAAAACTTATCATACCGTTTGAAAAATTAGTTACGGTACCCTTAAGACTTTTAACATTGGACAAAATCCTCCTCTATCATTAACGTGCCATTACGATCTGTTCGCATATAATGCCATTGACTTGTATGCTACCCTTCTACGATCAATATTATCTTTTATTGTTTTTTAAATTTTCAAAAGAAACAACCAAATTTACCAAAAATAAACCGAACTATGCTATGAATTCAAGGCGC